ATTGGCCTGAAATTTTCTTTTTCAGTTGTGTCTCTGCCAGGTTTTGTAATCAAGATGATGTTGGTCTCATAAAATGAGTTAGGGAGGATTCCCTCTTTTTGTATCATTTGGAATAGGTTCAGAAGGAATGGCACCAGCTCCTCTTTGTACCTCTGGGAGAATTTTACTGTGAACCCACCTGGTCCTGGACTTATTTTGGTTGGTAGGCTATTATCTGCTGCCTCAACTTCAGACCTTGTTACTGGTCTATTCAGGGATTCAACTTCCTCCTGGTTTAGTCTTGGGAGGGTGTAAGTGTCCAGGAATTGATCCATTTCTTCTCAATTTACTGGATTAAGTGCATAGAGGTGTTTGTAGTCATCTCTGATGGTAGTTTGTATTAATTGGTGGTGATATCCCCTTTATCATTTTTTATCGCATTTATTCGATTCTTCCTCTCACTTTTTTATTAGTGTGGCTAGCGGTCTGTCTGTTTTGTTGATCTTTTCAAAATACCAACTCCTGGATTTATTGATTTTTTTTTTTTTTTTTGAAGGGTTTTTTGTGTCTCTATCTCCTTCAGTTCTGCTTTAATCTTAGTTATTTCTTGTCTTCTGCTAACTTTTGAATTTGTTTGATCTGGGTCTTCTAGTTCTTTTAATTGTGATATTAGGGTGTCGATTTTACATCTTTCCTCGCTTCTCATGTGGGCATTTAGTGCTATAAATTTCCCTCTAGAAACTGCTTTAAATGTGTCCCAGAGATTCTGGTACGTTGTGTCTTTGCTCTCATTGGTTTCAAAGAACATCTTTATTTCTGCCTTCATTTCATTATTTATCCAGTAGTCATTCAGGAGCAGGTAGTTCAATTTCCATATACACAGCTAGCGCTCGACTTACGACCACGATTGGTTCCGACAGACCGGTCGTAACACGATTTGGTCATAAGTTGAGTAGGCTGTATGTACAGTACTGTGAAATGATGTTATAAAAACTTTAAGTCATATTTTATCATAATTTTCTTTCATTATTGTTATATATCATAATTTTCTTTGTTCATTTTATGCCACTTGTATCATCTCTACACCGTTTTGTTTCTTATTTTTACATTCGTCAGGTTTAAGTAAAACACTGCATTACCAGTACAACTGGTTTAATATTTGCAAAACATACAAAATTACAAAATACAGGTGCATACAAAAATACAAAATACAGGTGTAAAAAATACCATAGGAAACATTTTCCCAATTGCAAAACATATCAAAATATATAAACATGTACGAAACATTTTATTGGCCGCTGGTGCTTGGCTGCGGATCATTGATGTCGTCATCTGAGGCAGCAGTTGGGGTTACCGGAGTTGGTTTTTTCATAAACATGGTGAGCTTTGTCTGAAATGTATGTTTCTTTTTTTCTTCATAAATTTCACGATACGGACGAAACACATCGTGCGCCATCCGTTCAATCCTTGCAAATTGTTCGATGTTTGGGTCCATTGCTTCGAAATGTATAAGAAGTTTATTGGGAGAGACTTGATGAAAAACATCCAAGACACAAAACACAAATTGCTGTACCGAGTCTGGGATAACAGTTGAAATGGTGCACGCAGAGATGGTAGTGCTGCCGGAAGCTGGTCCGCACTGTTGTATGCCCAGCTGGGCAACGTTTGCGCTGCCAGATGCGGAGCAGTCATGGCTAGCGATTGTGGTCGTAAAGTCGAATGGTCGTAAGTTGCATGGGTCGTAAGTCGATCAATACCTGTAGTTGTGCTGTTTTGAGTGAGTTTCTTAACCCTGAATTCTACTTTGATTGCACTGTGGTCTGAGAGTCTGTTGGTCATGATTGCCATTTTTTGCATTTGCTGAGGAGTGATTTACTTCCAATTATGTGGTCAGTTTTAGAGTAAGTGCAGTGTGGTGCTGAGAAGAATGTATATTCTGTGGATTTGGGTGGAGAGTTCTGTAGATGTCTATTAGGTCCGCTTGGTCCAGATCTGAGTTCAAGTCCTGGATATCCTTGTTAATTTTCTGTCTTGTTGATTTGTCCAATGTGGACAGTGGAGTACAGCGTCTTTTCAATGCCAGTTGATTTTTGTCATTAGGAAATACAGAGCTGGGCACAGTGGCATACACATGTAGTCTGGAGGCTGAGGTGGGAGGATCTCTTGAGCCCAGGAATTCAAGGCTGCAGTGCACACTGATCATACCTGTGTAGAGCCACTGCACTCCAACCTAGACAATGTAGTAAGACCCTGTCTCTAAACACCAAACAAACAAAAGAAATGTGGATCCAGTCCAGTGATGCCCATATCTTTTGACTTTTTTAAATGAGAAGTTTGGATTTTTATGTGAGGCTCCCAAAGATTAAATTCTGGCAAATTAGAAAGGCTGTAGTGTGTGTTAAGCACAATGTAGCTTTTACCCATATTTTGTATGAATACTACAGACAGTGGAGAAATGGAAAGATTTACACACTCTTACTAATATTATATAGATTAAAAATAATATATCCTTTTTTATACATCAGATTGATGAGAATGATCACTAATTTGTAAGGTTGGGAGAGTATAAATTGATGCAGGCTCTTTGGAAGAAGGCAGTTTGGAACTACATACAAAAATTTAAAACACATACTAGTTTTGACCTAATAGTTCTACTTTCAGCAATCTGCCTTACAGAAGTATTAGTCCCTGTGGGTGAAGATTTATGTTCAGTGAAGCATTATATATATATTGGTGAAAATAAGGTTAAAAAATGTAAAGGAAAATAGAAACAACCTAAATATCAGTTGATAATAGGAATGATTAAATTATATAGCCATATCACAAATCATAGTCAATGAAAAGATGAAATATATCTGCATTCCTGTGTGGAGTCTAGAATTTACTATTTGTTATTTATGTACAAAAATTATATTTTATATGCATAAAGTTATGCTGTCATTTTTAATATCTGTATATTGCATAGTGCCATAATTTAGTCTATTAATGTACATTATTTCCAATGTTGTGCTATTCGTATGCACATTGCAGTGAACACTCCCTTTACATATGTCCTTGCAGTGTTGTCTCCTAAGATATGTTTCTTTTATATTTTATATGGTGACAACATTACATATCTGAACTCTGTATAGCTTGGGGACATACCTTTACTGAGAATTTGCTGTTTGTATGACCCTGGAATTGAGTAAAGGTACCTTAGGCATGGTAGACAGAGAACTAACCAGAAAAGTGGCACTGCGTTCAGTTAGCCTGGATTCCTTAAGATTTTTTAAGGTAATTTAAGTAGTTTTTGTCTAGTCCATACATGCATGTGGTATAAAATTCAAAACATATAGAAAGGTAAAGTAAACCTTTCTCCCACTCTGAAACCTCTTCTGTTTAATTTCTGTTCCTGGGAAACTACTATGAGTTTATTCATCCTTCTGCAGATATTTTATGCATATATATTTATTTTATACACATATAAGTATATATTTAAAAGTTTTTTTTATAAATGGTAGCATATATGCTATTCAGCAGTTCACTTTTTCTCATTTAACTCTAATAATATCTAACACTTACATGATGCTTTGTTCTAGGCCCTGTTCTAGCACGTGTTTTTGTATTGATTATTAATCTTCATCACAAGTATGAGAAGTAGGTAAATATTATTCCCTTATCATAGATGAAGAAATTGAGGCACAAACTTTAAATAACATGCTAGTAAGTTGTCAGCTAGAAGGTGAACTACAGCCTTCGGCATTCTGGCTACAGCCTTCAGCAGTCTGGCTACAGAGTCTTTTCTATTATCCCATATGCTATACTGACTCAATTGTTGCCCCATTCTTTTTAATAACTATGTTAATTTATCTAAAGGTCCTGGTTGGTGGACATTTAGGTGTTTCCACACATTGCTGTTACAAATGATGCTAGTGTGAATATCCTTGTGCTTATAAATGCCTGTGTCATTTGAATATGTAAATCTGTTTCATTTTCCTTTTTTTTGGTGGGGGACAGAGTCTCACTCTTGCCCAGGCTGGAGTGCAATGACATGATCTCAACTCACCACAGCCTACATTTTCTGGGTTCAGGCGATTCTCCTGCCTCAGCCTCCCAAGTAGCTGGGACTACAGGTGCATGCCACCAAGCCTGGCTAATTTTTGTATTTTTAGTAGAGATGAGGTTTTGCTTAGTTGGCCAGGCTGATCTTGAACTCCTTACCTTGTGATCCACCTGCCTCAGCCTCCCAAAGTGCTGGGGTTACAGACGTGTGCCACTGTGCCTGGCCTTCTCTCATTTTCATCCATCCAAATTTGGGGGTTAGAAGAGTCTTGTGTTCATATAGTTACATTCTATTTTGAGACCTAATCTGAGACTTAAATAAATGAATGTATTTAGCTCATTTATATTTATTATAGCATTATGATTATAGCCTCATCTTTTATACCTAATGGACTAGGAGATAAGATCTGTTAACAATTGAAATACACTTAAAGACGTAAAGCAGTACAGTATAAAGATGTTAGCATTTCTTAATCTTTTTACTCATGTTTTTGTTGGTTATATAAAAACATTGTCAGGAACTGTAATAATTACACTATATTCTGTAGCCATAGCCATAGTCTTAGATCAATAGTTAGGTGGATTCAGATGCTCAAAGTTTGTTGTTTTGGATAGTTTTTTTCTTTTAGATGGCTGAACTTTATGGAGTATGTTCTTAAAGTTTATGAAAACAATATTCCTTGTGGTTTTGTATATTTAATAATATTTAACTGTTGGTTTTATACTGGAGATAAATACTTGGGTACTCTAGATACTGCTTCACTGATTTGTTTTTTGAGAAGGAATTTCGCTATTGTCTCCCAGGCTGGAGTGCAGTGATGTGATCTCGACACACTGAAACCTCTGCCTCCTGGGTTCAAGCGATTCTCCAGCCTCAGCCTTCCCAGTAGCTGGGATTATAGCCTCCCCTCCCTCACCCTCACCCAGGCCAGCTAATTTTTGTATTTTTTTTTTTTTAGGAGAGACAGGGTTTTACCATGTTAGCCAGGCAGGTCTCAAACTCCTGACCAAAGTAGTGGTATTACAGGCATGAGCCACCGCTCCCCGCCTGCTTCACTGATTTTTAAGCATTGATTCCATCTTCCTTCACATTTTAAGTTAGTGTTTTTTTTTTGTTGTTGTTGTTTTGTTTTTGCCTAGATTCTCAAAGGATTCCTCATTTAAATCTTTGAAAAACAACAATTTTACTATTGCAGTATTTATCGTCATGAGTCTGCGTCAGCTTTTCTTAGGAAGGGGTATGTCCTTTTTTGGGGGGGGGAAGGGGGTCCAATCCTGACTCTGTGTTTCAGTAATGAGGTCTGAAAGCTTCAAATGTTTCCAGGAAGGGACTATTGGGTTTGCTTTTCTGACTGTTATGTAATTTAGAGAACTGAACTGATAGTTTTGAGTTTGGAAGATGCAAGCCATTTCCCTGGCTTGAGCTCTCCCAGCATCCCTCTTTACCTTCACTGTATTTAGTAGCCCTTCTCATATAGTATGGTTAGGGATATGTCCTAGTTTGTTGGAGATGTGGTTTGTGTTTCTGTTTCGCACTCTCCTCTCCTAGTTGTTTTCAGATATTTTTAAGAGGAATAGGGGACCATACAATCTTTATCCTGCCATTTCAAATCAGAAATACCAAGAGTTATAGGTCAGTCCAGTTTTGTTAGAATTAAGATAACTTTACTGGAAGGAATAAAATACGTGCTGATGTTTTCTGAAAGCCGAAAATAGTTCATTTTTAGAGGCTCTTTTGGATAAATTTTTTTTTTTATTAAACAAAATCACAATATAACATATAAGTTTGATTATATCAGTTTGTAGTTATGAAGTCTTATGCATTAGAAAACATTAAGAATGAGACTAGTAAATCTAGAATTAAGAATTAAGCATGAGACTAGAGACTAATGTTAAAGACTAAAAACTAAAGTTAGGGATTCGTTTTAGAGTGCTCATCAGTTCTTCAGTTTGCCTTAGATGAAGATTCTTCTTTCAACTGAATCTGATAAACTTTCATGTACTAAATTCTGCTTCTAGAATATTTTTAAGTCCTTTGGCTTAATGAATGTTAGTTCTGGAATAATCTGGTATTCTGAATGGCATCTTGTTTTTCAAGGGAAATGTCCATCTATTTTCCTCACTTAATTGGCACTATATTATTGGAAGAAATTTCTCTTTTAAATATTAGAATGATAAAATACCTATATGATAAAATACCTATATGTTAAAAGAAATATGTTTGAAAAATTTTGATAGCTGTTGGGCAAGCCTCCTTCTGTTCTTATTTTTTAACATATTCTTATATTCATTTGACTGAGTTTCATTTTACCTGTGGCACCTGAGAGAAGCTAAGTATTTTTTCCATCCCATTTCTTTTATGTGACTATGTATTACTTTCTTAGTCTCAAATACGAAAGCACATCTAGCAGCCTCATGGAAAATTTTAATGCTTGGTAGATTATTGGAGCTTTCAGTTTTTAGCCTTTGTTACTGTAGTTCTTGATCATTCCAGTATTTTTTAAATCTTACTTACTTTTCTAATAAATTATAATAAAATTTGATCAGTGTTTTGTCTGATAATAGTGCCTGTGTTTACTACAAAGTAAGTAATTGTACTTTGAGCAGTTGAAACACTTTGAGATATTGATAGATATTCCCCAAAAGGGTTTTTTGATCCAAATAAATTTGGAATAGCTTGTATGTAACAAAATAATTACTTTGTGAAGAATGTATAGAACACTAGTAATTTCTGCTATAAAGAAAGAATATAATTACATTGGAAACACATCTCAAACCTATTTGATAATGAACTAAGTTGTAGAAATACATTTTGGGAAATGCTGAGAATATATTATAGAATATTTTCAGATCAGTGTATTGTTAGGGTATTCCAAAACATGTATTTGCATGGCATTTGCTTTTTAATAGGGATAAATGATAATTGCTGTCCCAGGATGTAAATATAATCAGAACATTTAATTATGGTGGTATGTTTTCTATAAATCTGAGAGGTTTTTGACATGGAAATTTTGTTACAATTGATTTTCCAGACTAAAAGTAATTCTTCAGTGCCTCCTATTGATCTTTGGAACTTCCTTCTGTTAAGTTTTAGCTGGAGGAATTTTAGAAATCCTGTGGCCCTCCTGACTTACTTTTCAGATGTAAAAACTGAGGCCTAGAAATGTAACTTTTGCCTAAGTCACATTGGAACCAAAACCCACAACTCCAGATTTTTTTTTTTAACTGCCTTAAAATTTTTATTTTATTTAATTTTAATTTAATTTAATTTTTTTGAGACAGGGTCTCATTGTGTCACCTAGGGTGGAGTGCAGTGGCACAATCATGTCTCACTGTAGCCCCTATCTCTCGGGCTCAAGCCATTCTCTTACCTTAGCCTCCTGAGTAGCTGGGACTATAAGCACGTGCCACCATGCCTGGCTAATTTTTCTAAATGTATTTTGTAAATAGGGTTTCCCTATGTTGCCCAGGTTGGTCTCGAACTTCTAGCCTCAAGCAATCCTCCTACCTTGGCTTCCCAAAGTTCTGGGATTACTTTTGAGCACCTTACTTTTGAGATGGAAAGCTAGGTGGTATCTCCACTTAACATGAGAATTGAGATATCAGATCATCTTTGAGGTATGTCAAATTGAATATATATACAACTCAAGTTTCTAGACATCTAGTTTCCCCCTCATTTCTCAGAATCACTATTTTTCTCCTAGCCAAGAGAAAAAATAGTTTTAAAATAAGCATGTACCCTTACCAGTATTACTACTAAGGATAATCAGTGCTAGTTTTTAAGAATTGGTGCACAGGCCAAGGATGGATGAGTCAGATTTTTTTTCTCAGTTGAGCTATATCATCCCTTCCTAGTAGTCAGTTATGGAAATATTTATCCTACTATTAATGAAAAAATGGGCTTAGATGACTATGAAGTTAATCTCTAAGGCCCTGACTTTAAATTTATAGAATATATATATATTTTTAACATACTTTTCAGAAAGATAACAGCTGAAAGTAATTGGCCTCTTGGTTATATGAATTATGTATTTAGACGTAATGTATTATTGGAAGAAATTTCTTTTTAAATACCAGAATGATAAAAATTATTAGGGCTTTCTGTAGAATCAGGACTGAAATGATAGGAGAAAATAATTTTTTTGAGATAGACATTTGGAATTTTTGTATTTTGTTGGCCACTCATTTTGTTCAGTTTCCTAAGACTAGAAAGCAATCCTGCCTTTCCTAATTTTGTTTCATCAAAGTTTTTTGGGGTTTATGTGTCTAATCTTTACATTAATTGTAGTGTATGTTCTTCTGTTTCTTTTTCTGTGCCCCTTCCACAGATGTGCAACTTTCACATACTTTTATTTTTTTTTCGTAGAAAAAAGCAAATGAATCATTATTAGGAAGAAGGCACATCTTTAAGGTTAGGTTCAAAGTCAGCATATGCATGAAAATAGCGTATAATAAAAATGTTCATTCAGAGTTCTCTAAATGCTCAAAGTGTATTAACGTGTGATTTTGCATATATCGCATATGTGAGTTAAATTATTTATAATTTTATATAGAGGTTCTATTAACAAATTATTCAGGGTCATGTTCATTTATGAACATTTCAATTTACTGATTCTTTTTGTTTCTTATCATCTTTATTTACTGTTGATGATTTTATCGGTTCCTTTCTTAGTTATTTAATGGTTTTCTGTTGTCTTTAGATTTTTTCTTGAATACCTTGAGGAACTGTCACCATCCACTCAACCTGGCCCCTTGAATAATTTTTATATATAATATAAAAAGATATAAATTGTGTCCTCAATACAGTAAACTTGGAGAGGGTGTGGAGAAGTTAGAGTTTTTGTATGTGATTGAAATTAAATTTTTATCAGCTTACAACAGTCTATTATAACTACAAGATGACTTATATACATTGCATGGGAAAAAACCCTGTAGTAAATACACAAAAGATAAAGAGAAAGCATCTAACTACCCAAAAAAAAAAAAAAAAAAAAAAAAATCACAAAGGGAGACATTGAGAGAGGATGAAAGAAGTAGAGCAACTACAAGATAGTCAGAAAACAACAAAATGACAATGGTAAGTCTTTATCCACAATTACTTTAAATGTAAATGGATTAGGCCGGGCGCAGTGGCTCACGCCTGTAATCCCAGCACTTTGGGAGGCCGAGGTGGGTGGATCACGAGGTCAAGAGATCGAGACCATCCTGGTCAACACGGTGAAACCCCGTCTCTACTAAAAATACAAAAAATTAGCTGGGCATGGTGGTGTGTGCCTGTAACCCCAGCTACTCAGGAGGCTGAGGCAGGAGATTTGCCTGAACCCAGGAGGCGGAGGTTGCGGTGAGCCGAGATCGCGCCATTGCACTCCAGCCTGGGTAACATGAGTGAAACTCTGTCTCAGAAAAAAAAAAAAAAAAATGTAAATGGATTAAGCTCTCTAATCAAAAGACAGAGTTGTTTAAAAAAAAATTTTTTTTTTTTAACAGATCCTACAGTATGATGCCTACAAGAGATTTATTTTAGCATTAAGGACACACATATACTGAAAATGAAGAAATGGAAAAAGATATTTCTTTTTTTTTTGTTCTTTTTTTGCTCCACAATGCCTTGTTAAACAACTGGAGGAAAAAGATATTTCATACAAATGGTAACCAGAAGAGAATAGGGGTGGCTATAGACTTTAAAGTCAAAAACTGTCACAAGAGACAAAGTCATTATATAATAAGTCAGTTCATCAAGAAGATATAATAATTGTACATATGTATACATCCAGCATCAGAGCACCAAAATACTTTTTATAATGAGAAAATCAAGATTCTAAAGTTTTAACAGATATGATAGGACGAGTAGATAGTAATGCAATAATAAAGACTTTTGTAACCCTCCTTTAGCAATAGATAGATTTTAGCCAGGCAGAAAATAAATAACAGACTTGAACAACATTATAGGCCAAATGGACCTAACAGACATATACAGAGCATTCCATTGAACAGTAGCAGAATATACACTCTTTTTAAGTGCACATAGAACTTAAGATACATTAGATCATAAAACAAATCTTAAGAAATTTAAGAAAATTGAAATTGTAAGTATTTTTGTAAGCATGAGTATGAAACTAGAAATCAATAACAACAGGAGTAAAACTGGAAAATTCACAAATATGTGGAAATTAACACATTCTTGAACAACCAGTAGATCAAAGAAAAAACAAAAGGAACATTGAAGAGGTTATCTTGAGACAAAAGACAGTGGAAACACAACATAACAAAACTTATGTGAAGCAGCAAAAGCAGTTCTAAAGGGGAATTTTTTGGTGATAAATGTTTACATTAAAAAAAGATGTCAAATGAATAACCTAACTATGTGTCTCAAAGGACTAGAGCAAGCTTGTTCAACCTGTGGGCCACATGTGGCCCAGGATGGCTTTGAATATGACCCAGTACAAACTCATAAACCTTCTTAAAACATTATGAGATTTTTTTGCGGTTT